TGTTGCATTGAGCTGGAACTGTGTATGAATGTGGGCAACCTACAAATGTGTTTGCCTCTCTATCAGCTGTTCCGCCGCTTGTTGCGTTCGGACTGATTTTGACCGTTCTTCGCGCCTTAGCTTTGGAGATCGAGAGGACAGCCCTAAAGCCATTGGTGCAGGGTCTATATTGACATCCAAGTCCCCACTCTGTGATTGGTGCTGGCATGCCTGATTTTAGTATCCGTTCCTGTTTCAGAGGTTTTTCCTGCAACTCAGGTGTCTCGGGACCTCATAGGGAAGATCAGGTTACACCATTCAGCTTCTATGGGTTGATTGGATTTGTATCACCTAACCTTGTGCTTGGAGTAAGCAATTTCAAGATGCTGACGTAGAAGTTCATTCTGTCTCTATCTGAACCCGAGATTGGTTTGTGACCATCGATCTAAGGATGCGTACTTCTGCATCCAGATCGTCAAGAGACACAGTAAGTTCCTCAGGTTTGCTTTTGGAATAAAGCTTGCCAATACTGTATTCTTTCATTACCTTGACGATTTGCTGATATTAGCTCAATCACACAAACTGTTTGGAGCAGCGTTTTCTGGCACTCCAACGGTTCTTACCCAATTGAGTGGTTGTCACATTAGGTCAAGGACTGACAACACGGCTGTGGTCTCATACATGGATTGTCAGAGAGGATTATGCTCTCGCCCTGTGCAGGTTGGTGAGATATGTTCTTCTTTAGACGCAGACCATGTTCCTGTCGATCAGAGCAGTTCATGTCCTGGGTCACCTGAACTCAGGAGTGGACTTACTCTTGAGACAGAGTTGGAGGCTGGAGAATGGAGATTGCACCCTCAGGTGGTGAGTCTCATATGGCAGAGGTTTGGCCGAGCGGAAGTGGATTTGTTTGCTAAAAAAATAGAGCATGCGCATTGCCCGCTCTGGTTTCCTTGTCTCCTCTGTCGCCTCTGGGTGTGGATGCTCTAGCCCAAGAATGGCCAGGACCAGTCTTATGCTTTCCAGTCGACCCGTTTGCTCCCAAACGATTATGTTCTGTGTAAGGTTGGTCAGAGTGAACGTCTGTTGTTGGTGGTGTCGTTTTGGCCCTCTCATACGTGGTTCTCAGAATTGGTCAGTCTGTTAGCTGGCCCCCTTGGGAGGTTCCCCTCAGACATGACCTGCTGACTCGGGTTCAGGGCATGATTGGACATCCCCATCAGGATTTTTAGAACTAATGGGTGTGACCCCTGAGCAGAGTTGAAATGTGTTCCGGTCTCTTGGCAGAGATGACAGACACTATTCTTAATGCTAGAGCTCCCTCCACGAGACGCTGTATGCCCTTAAGTGGACACAATCTGCTGGTTTCCCGTTTCATGCAGGGACGAGACGGCTTAAGCCTTTCCGCCCAGCACAGATTCCTTTTTGGGACTTATTTTCAGTTGGAAGGCCTGACAGGCCATCCATTTGAGCCATTTAAGTCTGTCAGATAACTTTGAATCCTTAAGCAGTTTTTTGGTAATCCTATCCTCTCTTAGAGGACTGAGGATCTGCAGGATCTGCAGGCTCTGTCAGCTCCTCTTGTATGGTTTTTGACCCTAGGTTGGTTAAGTCTTACTGCTTCCTAGGCCTACTTAATCCTAAGGCTGCTTTGACTCTGCTTTGCTTTCAGCAAGTGGTTGGAGGCTTTGTCCCCTGCTATGTGGGGTCAGATAGGGACTACACCTCTAGCCTATGAGGCGCGTGGTGTGACTTCGCCTCTAGAGGTGTGTGCTCATTCTATGAGAGCAATGGCTTCTTCTCAGGCTCTTTTTAAAGGGCCTTTGATGGGAGATGTCTGTGCTGTGGCAGGTTAGTCCTCTCCTAGCACCTTCATCAAGTTCTATAGTCTAGACGTGAGGATGGCTCCTGGCTCCCGGGTCTTATCCGCTTGAGCAGACACTTTCCTTGGTATCCAGCTATCTAAGGTACGTCAGGCGTTATGGTATAGCTTTCCCAAAGCGATGACGTCATCGCAGCATTGAAGTTACCTATGAGAGGGAACATCTCGGTTACGTATGTAACCCTAGTTCCCTGAATAGGGAATGAGATGCTGCGATGAGGGCCGTCTGTACCTTGATAGCGCTTCCTTCGTCATAGCATAAAATCTGATGAAATATATGCGCATATATGAGCATACATTTGCTTGGAGTGGTGCTAAGCGCTATTGGCCAATAAATTGGAGTGATGGTATAAGGGCTTCAGACATTCGTCACACCGGAGGTGTTCCCAAAGCGATGACGTCATCGCAGCATCTCGTTCCCTATTCAGGGAACTAGGGTTACATACGTAACAGAGATGTTTTTCGAGTCATTCGTGGCAGACCCATAAGCTGGCTGTTTTCGGAGCGAATCATAAAGCTGTATCTTTCTTTTATAAATATGATAAAACTAAAGACTTTTTGGAGATATGAAGGATGCAGTACTATAGGTACTCAAGATTAACATGAGATTGGGTGAAACTGTGTTATGTCCCCTTTAAATATTTTCATTACTACAGGAGCTGCCAGTTTGCTAAGTTTTCTAATGATTATTAAACTGCAAGCACAAACTATGCAAAAGTGGCAGCCCTCCTTGCACACTCAGTGTCTGAATTCACTCACTCCTGTAACTGAACTATATTAGTAGTGGATTAATGTAGGGAATAGTGAATGAGGGTATAGGGGGAGATTCTGAACACAACACTTGATTACTTTTGTTCAGTTGTGTTTAATAAGGGTTGGAGCGACCTACAGGATGTGGATAGAGTAGGGGATAGTCTACAGTTATACAGTGGCCCTCCAGGAAAAGGTCTGGACACCCCTGACCTACAGTAATATAAGTTACTAGACTGAGGAAACTGTTACAGTATATGAGCTTAGAATTTTATTTGCATTAAAATAGGTAAATAAATTTAAGGGATTCTTATATTTTGAGGGAAACTGACTGATCAAAGCACTGTACGACTAGTTGTTCTGTAGTGGTTTGACAGCAGAGAGGTGTTCTGAGCCTGTGTTTTTCCAATGACTGCACATAGGGGGCACCAGTTC